TAATCCTGTACTACATAAAGTCAGTTTCCAACTCATTTTTAGTCAAGATAGCTTTGAATTTCCTGAACATCATTTAGTAATACTGACCTCACTGGTGAGTCAGTTAAATTGAAATCTAAGACTCAGTGAGCCCCCACTGTGTTTCAAGTACTATACAGAGCAACAGAGGTAAAATAGATGGAATCATGTTCTTGGCAAAAAAGATCAACAGAAAACAGTTCTTACCCTTATAAAGGTTACAATCATTCTATATGAGGCCCAATCTAACCCTTTACTCAGCCCATCATCCCTTCCTACCTCTTTTGCTCAACCATTGACTAGTTTTGCCTCATCCATTGTCAGTTTCTGGCTCCCAGTTAGAGTCTACTTTCTCCTCTTCCTCCTCTATCCAACCCTGCCTCTGCCTCTGTGGTAACCGTGTACATTTAGGGGGTTTTGTAGGAGTTTTTCCCCTTTATTTTAAACTCTCTTGAACAAATCCAACATTTATGGAGCATTTACAATATGCAAGGCCTTGTGCAAGAGGAGATCATTAGATAAATGAGACTCAGTTCCTCCCTTCTACATGATCATGGTCCAGAAGAGTACTTAACTAGTCGGGAAACAGAATGAAAACTGATGAGCTAAGAGTAGCTGACAGTTGTGAACACAGAAAAAGGAGATTGCCTTTGCAACTATGTGGGCGACGAGGACAGGTGAGAAGACTCAAAGTGGCCATGTCCCTCCATCTGTTTCAGAGTCAGTCTTTCAAATACTGAACCTTAGCAGGTTTGGGGTCATGCCTTCCAAAAATTAAGAGGGATGATATTCAGAAGCCTCTGCTTTCCCATCCCTTTTTTTGCTTAATAAAAAAAAAGTGGCATACTGAGATGCAGTAAAATTACCTTTTTTTTTTTTAAGTGATCATTATTTTGTTTTCACAACATTCCTATCATTTTAAACGTTAAAGCCTAGCATTCATTGTTGCATAAATTTATGTGATGAATACTGTTGTATGCCTGAGGTAGGCCCTAAGAGTTTTCCAAGCAAAATCTTCTGGCCTCCACAAATGTGCCTAATCCAAAAAAATTAGCTAAATGAAAGAAAAAAATTACAGAGAGAATTTAATGGTGAGGTTCTCAGAGAATTATAAAGAAAATAATATTAATAAATATGCTTTCTGACTTACATTACAGATTCTGTGTTAGATTTTAAGTTAAAAGATATTTTTAAAGAAAAATAATAGTATAAATAAAACTTCTGAGATCACATGAAAACAAGGGGTCTTGAAGATACTGAAACATTTGCTATTTGAATCCCTATTTTAATCAGAATCTCAGAGGAGGTGACCCTGGGTTTCTCGGGGTGGCCTCAAAGTATACCGCTTCAGTCATCATGATAAACATTTGTTTGGCCCCAGAATGGACCTACAAACTCTAAATTTCACTCAGATAAACCAGTGAGGTGCCATTATGTTGACTCCAATTCTTGGTGAGCCATGTGTATCAGAGTATAGCTCTGCTCTGTAGGGTTTTCAATGGCCAACTTGTCCGAAGTATAATCACTGGGCCTTGTGATGCATCTCTGGGTGGACTTGAACCTCCAACCTCCAACCTTTCAGTTATCAGCCAGTTGTATTAACCACCAGACAAATGAAAAACTATGAAAAAGGAAACTCAAGATCACCAAAGCTAAAATTTGAATTCTCACTTCTTCCTCCCCTAGCATTGATGCAAGTTGTGTGCCGTTAATGAGGTGGTTTATTTGGGTCTTTGGGAGTTTGTTGTTTTTTATTCCTGTTTAAAAAGTTTTTTAGTCAATATACACACAAGCACACAATCATGTTGGCAGGCGCTCAGAAGTTGTTTCCACAAAAGCCTGTGGGAGATGCTTCTTTTGTAATAAAAAAATGGTTTTGTGAAGAGCAACCACACCCTTCCAAAAAAAAAAACAAAACAACTTATTCTTACACTCTTTGAACCTTAAAATTGTTTTCATAGGCCAGCTCATTGTTTTCCTTCTCTCTGAAAAATTAAAAAAGATAACCATTATGATGAGTTCTACAGAACACAACAATTTCCATGATTTCATTTCTTGACAAAGAACAGCCACTTCACCGGGTTTCTGCCACATGTAAGCAAACTCCCAGACATAAAATCTCCCCTCAGAGGAAGCCATATCTGTCTTGAGTTCTCCCCATCTGCTCGTGGGAAACCTCCCTTCTCGCAGGGAGAGTTCCATGTGTCAGAGAACAAGGTGTGGAAGGTAAGATAGTGACTGTCCCCCTGGTGCGCACAGCCTGCCTGCGCTGTCTGTCGTGTATCTACAGGGTAGCTACTGCCACATCACCACTTGATCTGGATTGTCTCTCAGAAATTAAAAAAAGTCACGGCATGCCTGTCTTTCATAATGTTCTCTTTTCAAAGAGACAACTCTCAGGGGAAAGAATAGGACCCTAATAGTCCAAGGCCTGGAATCCCTCCTTGCTCTCTTTCCATTTTAAACAGGAAACATTGACGCTAAGAAGAGTCCGGAGGGAGTGTTGGTTATATGTTCATTTTAAGGCAGATAATGTTTGTGTGTTGCAAATGTCAGTGATTTATCCCCAGGGCTTAAAATGAGTGCAGAAAAACCACATGTTTCACTTCATGCAGAGAAATGTCTTCAGTAGGTTTTGAGAGAAAGCATAGGTTAAGGATTTTTTTTGTTTAAGTGTTTTGGAAATCTCTAACATGAAGTAAAAGGAAGTAGACATGAGAGCACAAGGTGGGAGAAGACTTTAAACATTTTATGATAAAAGATATAATGAATGCTGGAAGTTTTCTAAATTAAAAAAAAAAAAAAATGTGGACTGCAAGAAGAAGGGAAAGGTAAAATCACAATCCTTTATTTCCCAGGACTGGAGTGACAGATTATGTATTTGTGCTCTATTTGTCATGGGCAATTTAAAATAGAGCAAAGCGAACGGCACTGAATAATAGTGGTTGATGTTATAATAACTTGTACGCAAACAATTTCATTTTTTTATCAGTAAACTCTCGTTAACTAAATTACTCATAGCGCAAGGATCTATTTTTCATTATTATACATAGCCAAATTAAGACATAAAAGGAGAGAAAATTCTATCATTCGTCCTGATAGACGTGTCTACATGCTGCTTTCCACATGCACTGAGCTTGTCAACCTTTCATTGATTTGGTGGAACTTACAGGGCTGTTTTAACATCGACCTCCTTAGATTATAGGCTGATTTTGACCCTCTTGACAGTGCTTGATTAACCACAGATACTATATTCTTACAGTCCTGTCATTTCTTTTCAAGTGCTCAAGTGGTTTATACTCTGACGGTGGAAGGTTTTTCATTAATTATTATTGTTGCTGTTTTTTGTTTTGTTTTTTTGTTTTTTTGTTTTTCAAGAAAAGAGAGAAAGAAAAGGAGGAACGGTAAACAATGGGAAGGATCTGGTGGTGGCAAATGAGTGCACAGAAGGTTTATGGGATTTTAAGAGCTGCAAATAGAACTCATATGTTTAACCCCAGGCTAGATAAGATGCAGTCATCTGCACAGTGTTTAGGGACGTATTGCTTCTGTTATGGCAAATGGACCAGAAGATGCTTGTTGTCTTTAGCAGAGAGATCCTGACAGGGTCTCTTTCTGTTAGTGTTTACTCTTGCCCTGAGTACAATTTGCAGCTGGTTTGGTTTTTCCAATTCAGCTACTGGCCTGGTAGTACATCTTGTTCTTTGTGGTAGAATTACCTTACCAAAGCGCTAGGTGGGTAATTCCCTTTGGGCTTGGACGTCTTCTAGGAATTGTAGCATAAAGAAGGCATGTTAATATACACAGGGGTGTGAGAGTAGCCAACTAGGGTTTATGTAACACTGTTGTTGATAGCTGCTGTCTGGTGGGCTCCTGACTTATGGTGACCCACCCATGCATGAGATTGGACCATTGTAATCAATAGGATTTTCGTTGGCGGAATTTTTAAAATAAATTACCAGGGCTTTCTTCCCGTTTTGTGTTTGTCTGAAAACTCTGCTGAAACCTGTTCTGCATCATGTTGTTGTTAAGTGCCATCAAGCTGGTTCTAACTCTGTACAGGGTTTCCCAGGAGCAGCTGGTGGTTTTGAACCGCCGACTTTGTGGTTTGCAGTCCAGTGCTGATCCTACAGTGCCACCCAAGGCATCATAGCAGCATATGAACTGTGGACTTCAATTGAGATGCATTTACAAGGAATCAAACAGGTGTCTCTCATGAAAGGGAAAATATCTAGTACTTAACCACCACTGATCACTTTAACTAAGATCACTTTAAGCCATGTAAAGAGTCCTGGTGTAGCACTGTAGGATCAGCACTGGACTGCTAACTCCAAATTCAGTGGTTCAAACCCACCATCCACTCCTTGGCTATCCTATACAGGGTTGCTATGAGTCAGCACTGACTTGACAGCAAACAGCAACAACAATATGGCCCATTTAAAGAGTACCCGCACAAACCTAAAAGACAAGGGAATGCAACCCAGGGGCAAGTTTTAGCTCCAAAAGACCTGGGCATTTCTGCTGCCTTTTATAGAGAATGGGGGCATTCTCATGATCACAAAAAAGGGTCAGACTCATTGTCTTGGTTAGGATACTAGTTTGGCTAGTATAATAAAACCAACATAAGAGGGTTTCAACAAGATAAAAGATATTTCTCTGTCATGTTCCAGTCTGAACACAAGCAGTCCAGGGTTGATACGGTGGCTCCCCAGTATTGGGGACCCAGTTTCTTGCATGCTTGTTTCTCTGCCTTCCTCAGCATGTGATTTTCAGCTGTTGTCTAACATGGCCACCCAATGGTCAGGAGGAAAGAGAAAAGGAAAGAAGGTTTCCTCTCTTGTTTTTAAGGCGATACATTACTTCTTTTCCCATCCCACCTAGTCTGTGGGCACACCCAACTACACAGAAGGCTGTAAAAGGTGGTCTTCAACTAGACAGTTAGCTTCATAGCTGCTAACGTGAGTCTGTTCTTCTTTTTCTAGGGGAGGACCTGTGGATCCTGTAGACTATATGACAGCTGGACCTCGAGGACTCTACAAGGAAAGGGAACTTCCATATTACCCAGGGGTTCATCCTGTGCATCCCCCCAAAGGGAGCTATCCTTGTCCTCCAGATTTGAGGGTCGCAGGTCTCCGGTATCCTCAGTACTGCCCACCCCCACCAGCACCCCAGCACAAAGGACCGTTCCGACAAGATGTTCCACCTTCTCCTCCACAACACCACAGAGCACCAGCCTACCAGGAAATGAGCAGACCAGGGCCCCGTGGGGGCAGCCCAGACCAGTACACCTATCGAACCCAGGATCCCCGGCAGAAAAACCCCATGACTGCAGCTGTATAGTTGAACGCCACCTAGATCTACCCGGAAGGAAGACATCTAACCGTACCTTTGCCCTTCCCAGACCTTAAAGCCTTCTTCCCGTTGAATATTTCTCCATGGTATCTGGTACAGTTTAGGTTTTCTCTCACTGAGGCCACAACACTCGAATACTAGTCTGAAGGAAAAGGAAGAAAGAGGGCTTTTTAGAGAAAAAAAAAAGTCAGAAGGAAGAGAAAGGTACTATGAAAACAGTAGTATTTAATATTTGAAATGCTTTTATAACTACTACATTTAATGAGAATTGCCACTAAACAAGCAAGCACATAACAATGGCCGTTGATGACATGGTGCCTCCCAGGCTAGATGGCCTGTACTGATGTGTACACACACACACACACACACACCCCACAGAATTGGCAGTTCAGGGCTGTCTCTACCAGGAATGATTATCCATCCAGAGGCTAAGCCTCACCCACATGATTAGATGTTAAGTTTGAAAGGTGGCAGAAAGACAACAAATCTGGGATATCTTCAGTGAGTGATATCTCATTAAGAAAAAGGAAAAGAAAAAAAGAAACCAGCAACACACAAGACTAATGATCTTGAATATTTTGATATCCAGAGGAAAATTACTTTACTAGTAGATTCTCAGATCCTACTAAACATTTAACATGGTTCTTCACTTTTTATATAAAAATTAGTCAACTGCAAATGTCGTGGTAGGTCCTGGGAGAAGGTGGAAAGCTTTGTTCTGAGCTTTCAAAAGGAAATCCATTCTGAACAGCAAGTAGCTTAGGTGACAAAGGCTGAAGTAGCCATGATCCTGGTCTTCCTTCCTCCCACGACCCGGGCATCACAGGATGGAGATGTGTCTGATTCCAGAGTCATTCCCGAACCTCTTGCCTGCAATTATATCAGCCGGGGCCTCTACTTTAAGGCTCTCACTTGAGGACTCATTGGGGAAAAGGGCCTCCTTGTTAGACCACACTACAATCAGTGCTAAATAGTACCTGTCTGCACTCTGGGACAGCGAGGAGCCAACTATGGCCTCTTGAAATTAGTGACCAGTAAGTAGTAGATGGCAGTGTGTGTGTGTGTGTGTGTGTGCCTGTGTGTGTGCGCGTGCACGTGCAAGAGAAAGCCAATTACCAACATGGAGATTGGAAGATAATGGAAGAAAAAAATACTTTCCGAAACGTTTGATGGGAAAAAGAATATGAAGAGGGAAAAGCAAGAGGAAGATAGAAAAGTGTAAAACAAAATCAATCTGTACCTGCTGTATGACCTCAGGAAGTTACTCAGGGCAACATGAAAGTCCCCAAATGGCCCTGAAACCCCAAACTCTAAAGTATTTAAGTAGAACATACTCATCACAATTGCTTTTGAACTTGGAGCTATTTTCCATTTATTTCAAATAAACATCTAAAACTTACAACTAGACCCAAATGAGAGCACCACCAAAAGACTGAGAAACAAGAAAATCTAGGAGCAGACATTTACTTCCCCAGTAATCTTGAAATACTTTAAGCTTCTTCACATTCATTCTTTATTCCTTCCAAAAATAAATAAGTGAAGTCTTTAGTTCGGTTGAGACATATTTTGGCTGAGATTAGAACAGCTGTGGTTGATGGGATTTAATAAAGGATAGTATTATTGAATACATTGATTATCCACCTAGCCTAGTTTACTCTTACTATTTTGATTTAAAATAGAATTCTGTTACCAAGAATGATACAACTGCTGTCTTAAACGTAAGTAGTGTTATTTACTGAACTTCAAGGGGTATCATTTTCTAAACTACAATTCACTTTTGGCTCTCTTGGAAATAGAATGTCAAGTTGTTTTTACCCCCCCCCCCCCCCCCCGTCAGTTCTCTTACACCGGGTACCTTTAGATCGTTTGCAATTTGTCCTAATAAGGTAACGATTGTGGGCCTTGCTCACCTCAAGGCAGAGTATTGGCATGCTGTAGGTTTTCCCTGCCAAGTGGCTCGGTGCTGCCTCTTCCTCAAGCTAACTAGCCTGTCAAGAAGAAAATGATCATGTGAGGGCAATGTAACTTGTTTTGAAGCAGTAAACATAAGTTTTCTAGTAAGTTCCAAACTTGAAGCAAATTTCTGTAGACTACCGGACATAACCAAGCCAGAAGGTGAGCCAACGATACAAATGAAGGCACTCTCAAAAAAATATAACAGTTTTCTTTTCTTGATTCAAGTATTGCGCATGCTCTGTTTGATCCCGCCTTAAAGAAGCTATGCTTAGCTTTGTGACAAAGAAGTTCCATCAAGCCAAGAAACAATTAAGAACAGCTTGGATACAAGCTGCATAAGTGCCTTTGTGCCAGGCCTCCAATTGTCACCACCCTAGAGGTCACAGGATTCTTTTTCAAGTATTTAAGAAGACAGATGTTTGGTGTATTTAGAAGACCTGACTATAATCAGTAGGTGCCCAGCAGCCAGAAATAGCTCCCAGTTTATTTATGCCCTATGAAAAACTCAATTGGATGTCTCCTTGTAGCTCAGAACCCTAATAACTCTCCTGGAATTGAGTAGCACAACAAGCTGCAAATCCATCAGCATGTACCCACTTTTCTCCCTTTTCACAGGAGTAGAAAGATGACAGGAAGCAAACCATTGACAGCTTCTAGGTGCAGGAGAGTCCAGTCCTCCAAAGGGAGAGAAGCACATCTCATTCATGGACCGTACCATTGAGTTGTGGCAGCATCACTCTGTGTAATACTGCCTCTCCACAATATCAAATCAGTGGATGAAAGGAAAGCTCAAAGACATAATATACATTTGCTTCAATCAGGATTTTTTGTAATACACAAAAACTGGAAAAATTGCTCTGAAGCTCATTAGTCTTAGAGGTTTGGCATTAATGTGACGCCCACAGGATGGCATGAAGCAAAGATCTTACCATCAAGAGCATGGGAGGGATCCACGGCCCACGGTAAGCCCATAGAAGGATCCCTGAACACTGGTCCTGGAAGGGAGAATTGACAGAGGTGGCTTACTCAATGAGCAACGTAGCCACGTGTTTACTTGTACTTACTTAACAGCCATTTACTTTTACTGTAGTAGACAGTGTTGCATGTTTTTTTTACCACATATGCTTTTATACTACAGGTAGTTTTTTCACATATGATGAAAAACATGTGAAACTGTTCACTACAGATTAGTAAATAAGCTTGCTTACTGGGTACTCCATCCCTCTCAGGAATTGTAAATTTGAAAAGAGATTTTAATTTTGTAGGAAGGTACAATGGGGTTGGGAGAGCGACAGATGCCAGCCATACCTAGAAGCAGACTCTGATGTGGTTAAAAAAAAAAAAAGTAATATTGTTCACTACAAATTAGTAAATACAAGTAATCCCATGCTTAACTTTTTTATTGGGTAATTCAATACTGAGAATTGGGAACTCATTGTAGCTTTATTTTTTCTACCAATGAAGTAAAATTATAAAATGGTATGTTTTGTTTTGTATGTTTACTACCAATGAAATAAAATTATAACATGATTTCTTAGTCCTTCCAAGAGTCATGGAATTTTTAAACTAAACCTAAATTCTGAAGAAAATCTACCAGACTAAGAGAAGCATGACATTCATTTCTCTCTTCTCTTAGATGCATCCAAAGCATCCATTTTCTGTGAAGGAACCTCTAAGCATTCCAGGGAGTAGAGAGTTCTGGAAAGTTTAGTGTGGAGAGGAATGAGTCTGTATAAAATTCCCCTTGGATTGAACTCTGAGATCCACAATATGTGGCCTTCCATTTGGTGTTAAGTTGGGCAGACACCCTACTGCTTTCCATGAGCAACAGAAAATCCAAATTGAAGGTAGGAGGCCGTTGGATTCAGAAATGGTCCATGTCCTCCATGGAAAGATGTAAATGCTGCCCCAACAAAACCAGGAAAACAGTCTTCAGTAGCTTTCCCTACAAGGCACCTTTCTGAGAAAAAGAGAATGAATGACAGATATTTTAAATAAGCTTAGAACCTCGTATACAGAGACTTCTAAGTGAAACTCTTTTGCCATCGTGAAACAGTAGTAGAATGTCACACAGCTGGCTTTTTCTAATGGGCTTTGCAACCCAGCAGAGAGAGAACCTGAGCTGGAAGACTGTAGCTCGCTGCCTGCAGTGCCGTTCACTACTAGAAAATAAAAACAACCTGTTGTTGGCTCAGTCCCCTTTTCTAGTGTTTTCTGTGCGTTTAGGATACCAAATCTGTTCATAAGTTCTGAAGCTAAATTATTTGAAATCATATTTTGGCATATGGGGTGGAGAATGAATTTTTTTTTACAAACTTTTAAAAGATACTTCCATTTGTACCACAGAAAACATTTTGGATGTTGTTATATATGAATTGTTTTATTTTACATTAAAATAAACTTCTATTCCTTTAACAAGATGTCAGAATCTTAGCTTTCATCCATCGTCAGTTTCCTTTAGGAATTCGTGAATGACTAGGTTGGTCTGGGACTGTTCACACTTGAATTGCAGTATCATAGGGCTGTTGTTGTTGCTAAGTACCACCAACTGGCTCCGACTCATAACGACCCTGTATAGGGTTTCTGAGGAGCGACTGCTAAGTTTGAACTGCCAACCTTGCTGTTCAAACCAACCTTGCAGTTAAGTGCTTATCCTACAGCGCCACACTAGAACTCCAATGTCATAGGGCAGAACTAGCAAAAACCAGTTGTCATAAAATCCATTCTACCTCATGACAATTCCACGTGTGTCATAGTTGAAGTATGTCCCGTGGCATTGTCAAGGGCTGACTTTTGGGAACTAGATTGCTCCTCCTGCCTTCAGAGCCACCTCTGGCTAGGCTGAAACTGCTCATTTTTCTATCACCACATCAGTAGTCTGCAATACCCAGTGATTCCCATGGGACAAAGGACAAGCGGAAAGAGGATTTGTAGTAAGCTGTGTTCCTGGAGACTCATATGCTGAGATGGAGATCAGTAAACAGATGTTTATTTGAAAGTATACATGGGTTCAATCTGATACCTATGGAAGG